GCTGGTTGCAGAGCCGTGTGTGTGTGTGTGTGTGTGTGTGTGTGTGTGTATGTATATATGTATCTACTATATTAGCTTGTGTGATATAGATGCCTTGCCTAGGAATCACGTCAAAAGGTGGCGATTTAAAAAGAACCAAACAAAAGAATAAAGAGAGCCGGGGATAATGAAAAAATAAGAGGAGAAAAAAAAAGAAATTAAGCGCCAGTCAAACAAGAACCAAAAGTGTAGTTATCACGTGTTAACTCTACATTGTAAGGAAAGCTCGTCCAAAGTATTACTGTTTTCTTTTATGCCCAAAATTTATTTTCTTTGATTTAATTTTTTTAACAGATTAATGTTTTTTTTTTTTGTTTGTTTGTGCTGCAACAGATAAATGGTGTTCGATTTACTTTGCTTTGCTTATTTTTCTGGTTTTTTTGTTTTGTTTTTTTTTTTTTTCGCAAGCGTCTACGGAGCCTGAGCGGGAGGGCCGGTGTTGATTACAAATGCATTGGAACCACGTCTTTCAAACAGATATGGCTTTTTACTTTTTTTTCCCCTTCATTTTCTGCTGAAAAGTGGGCCTAAAAAACATTCTCTGCTCTTCGCAAAATTGCTTAGACATCGAGAAGCGTTGCCATCGCAAGGATGAAGGACCTTTTTATTTTTTTCTGGATAATCTTAATAAATACTTTTTAAAAATATATGTGTTAAAATTTTTATTTTTTATTTTTAATTCATAATTTTTTAGTTAAATAATTATATTAATAAAAAAATATGTATTAAAAATAAAAAATTTAAATTTAAATTCATGTATTTTTAAAATAAATTCTTCATTTTTTTTTCTTCTTTTCCCTTTGCCTTGCAAATCTTATCGGGCCCACGTTTGTCACGGGAGCTTGGTTTTCTTCTTCTTCATTATTAACGAAATATTAAAAGAAAGCAATATAAAACGTTTTTACATAATTTGATTTAACATAGCCAATGCTGTTAAATACACAATAAATAATATAAAGCTTTTGCGATGTGGTATGATAAATAATAAAAAGCTCTAAACGTAGGCATTACAAAATTACAAATGGTGTGTGTTGGGGTCAGATTGTATTCCTCAATTTTTATCGTGCACCTATCAATTCTAGTGGACTAAATTTAAGGATTATCAGTTAAGAAAACCTTTTAGAAGGATTCATATTCAACGATTGATAACAACTACGAAACGACTTAGATCCAAGATCAATTTAAAACGACTGCAACACCTGAAGTCGATTAAGACTGTATAATAGAGGAGAGGAGTCAATTGCTCCAAAAAAATATTTTAAGAATCTTTCAAGGAATCTTTCATTTTAGAATTTGGAGAAGTTACTAAATCACAATTGTAGAGGTCGGACTCTACAATTAAATTTGTTTAGAGGGTCATTGGTCGCTCACATGAGTCGATCACGTTGATGAGTCGATTTGAGTTGATAGAGTGCTAGAACGAGAACGTAAAATGCAGAGAAATAAATGAACACACGAATTTATAATGATTCCCCTGATAATGCATGGTACGTCCACTGTAGAGCTCCGAGAGTTTCACTATCTCTTGTAAAAAGTACAATTACAATGGAGAATAAGAATTGGAGAAGAAGGAGGAGGAGATTTAGAGAGAGTCTTTGTATATTATGAAGGTTCCAAGATGTCTAACTCGTGATCTTCATCCCCTATTTACAAGAGAAAGTCTTCTACTTTCATTTTCTCTTAGATTGGATAGTTTTCCTTTTCTTGAGCTGACTTTCCTTTTCCTTCTTTCCATATTTGCTTTCTAGTATCTTTCTTCTTCTATATTGATCAGATTCGTGCCTTTAATATAGGATTTGGCTGAGATAATCTTCGTGTCCTCCTGGGAATCTCCTTTCTCAAAATATTCCCTATACTCTTCATGTCGTTAGTCTTCTCCAGTCATCTCGAGTCGATCTGATCTCCAATTGATTTCAGTCGATTGGAGTTGACAAATTTCTCTAAATGTTGTCCATGTGTACGGGGATGATCGTGGTGTTGATTTTGACCCTAACAACAATAAAATGTAGGATCCAAATTTTACAAGTTGAAAAAAACTACAAAATCGAGAAAATCTACTCTATTTTAAAAAAGAAAACTAGCTCTAATTAAGAAACTAAGAGCAGTAGACGCCAAATACAGAAGGAGGTCTCCTCCTCAGTCAAAGGTGCGATCATTCACTCTCCAAGACAAATACGCATGCCCTAATTAGCTGCCCTATTGTCTCATAATTGTCTCTCTCAAGTTTTTTTATCAAGCTTTCTTGTGCAGTTTTTTTCTCACACCAACAAGAAACCAAAACACTACAATAGATGTAACTCTCACATGGAGAGTGAACTACTAGAAAGTGTCTCTTTATTTTCCGTACTTTACTTGCTTGCTCACATATTAGATTACTTTGTTGTGAATTGACGTTGATTCGCATCGATAGACCCAGTTGTGTCTCCCATATATGGCCTGCTAATAGAATAGTAGGAAAAGTATGGAAAAGAGGATTAGACAATCTGGTGGTTACAAACGGATCAAAATCTAACGGCTCTTGAATTGGTCATTACTCTTTAATATAAATTGACTGTAGAAATTGAAGATTTGACGAAATAAACGAATTAAAGGACACAATTAACCAATTTTACTAGCTAACAACTTCAGCATTGATTCTGACAAAGGAAAAAATCCAGCCACAAAATATTCACTTTCAAGCAAGTTGCATGCGCGTATTTTACAAAAAAGAAAAAAAAAAAGAAAAGAAAAGAAAAAACCATGAGAGCATCGTGAAGTGTCTCAGTACTCGTGTACAAATATAGTTAGTTCACTTTCCAACTCTTACTCTTTTGTCCACACCTTAAAAATGATATGAATTATGAGCGTCATATTCATATATATCAACAACTAGATACTGTTACAGTGTACTATATAACAATGTCGATATGAGCCAAAAGAAGTTGGGGTGTCACGAGCATTGGAAGTGTCTTGTTGAACAAAAGCAAAAGAAAAATGCAAAGACTTGTACTATTTTTTTTTTTCCTTCGTGTTTTTATTTTTCTTTTATTTGTTCTGTGTCTTTATCTCTTATTTATCGTTTTCCATTTACTAACGCATAAAGACAATGCAATGCATGATTTCGTAGATCTACGATGAGTAATCCTTCTTAGTGTAATGTATTTGGTTAGTTTGCAGTCACCTGACATTGAAAGTCCTTTTCACGTGAGATACCATGGGCCAGATACTCAATTTCTCTATTCTTTTGGGCGTTTTTCTAAATGTAGAAGGTGGCAAAACGGCAAAAGCAATAGAAGAGTGTAGAAGAAATTCGATGGTTTTTTTTTTTTTTTTGAGGAAGAAAAGAAATTCAACGTGTTAATTATAGTTGTCATATACATTTTTGATTTTTCACGTATCTTTCTTTGTGCGGCTACAGAATTTATATCGGAATTAATTATATAATGTAGTTAACATCAATTTGTTTGTTAATTTGATGGCATTGATTTATGTCCTTTTATAAACGTTTTAAGATTTGTTTTATCACTGTTACCTATTATATATTCGTAAATGAAGCACATAATGCTAAAAGAAGCACACAAAACTCAAAAAGCGAGTTAAGAATGATTACATTTTTTTTTTATAATTTGTTCAAAAAATTAGCATTAATTTTAAGAAAAAGTTGTTGTCTTCCCATTTAAAGCACATAGGTTAGACTTTTATTCTTTATATTTTTTTATTAATACCCTTATGACTAATATTGTTATTTAACTAAAAAAATCCCAACCCATACATTATAAGGAATATTTATCTCATTTTCCCTTAATTTTATAACAACCACATTAAGAACACCAATTGATAGTCAGGCGTTTGATTGTTATATATAAACTTCGGGTCTAAACCAAAAGCTATTATCCCATAAAAATAAAATAAAATATAAGCCATTATTTACATAAAACAACTAGCCATATTGAAATTAGTTAACATAATGCGCCCAAAATTTAATTTTAAAATCTCTACAAGCTTCTTCACAATATACATTTGTTGTTATACATTATAAATTTAGGGGTACACCATTGAGAGGCAAAAAGTACATAAATGCGACATATGTAATGAATTATCCGAACCCGTGGTTTTTTATTTTTATTTATATTTTTTTATTTTAAATGGGAGTCCAGTTAGGACTTAGGTGTGATTACTTTTGATTTCCCGTTTCTCATAAAATGCAAATTTTAGGCACATGCATTCCATCCTTCCATGAATGCAAAGCCCTTTTTTACTCTTCTTGAGATCTGCACTATTTAGTGTACTCCTGAGTAGAAATTCGTACTATCCCAAGCTTTCTTCTTATTTTTCACATTTGAAGAATAAAGTCAAAGCAGCATTTTTTTCTCTGTTGGCTTAAAAAAAATTGCTAAGTAAATCTGAGATAACACTTGTCTTGAATTAAACAAATCATTGCTCAAAATCTTCTAAGCTAATCTTTGTTTCCTCCAAAAAAAAACACGAAAGCCAGATTTTTTATGTAAAAATATGCATGTTCATTTGACCAATCTCGTTTGAGATCTAGTAAACTTTTTGATGTGGACTTGGTTGTTGGTAGCTTTAAAGGCTAAGGGGATTTACCATTACTAATGTGAGCAAAGGGAGGGGAAAAAAAAAAGAAATGAAACGAAGAAATTTCTGTTTTAATGTTACGATATTTATGAATGTTAAAAACCCGTTCAAAGTTCAATCCAGCGATAATTTTAATTTTTAAAAAGGGCCAATTCACAGAATTAGGCGCATGAAATGGGTCCCACAAAGGATCTTAGTACACGGTTATATGAACTCAATTTCTTTGATCTTTAATTTTTTTAGAATTTAGATAAACTTTTTTAAAATAAATTTTATCATTTTTTGGTGAATAAGAATAAATTTAATATTTATAAGTTACCTACTCATTCTCTCTAAGTCCCCCTTAAAAATTCCGATATATTTTACACATTGCTTCACCAATAAAAACTGACCCAAAAGCAAAGCGGCAAAAACCACAAGAGAGAGGAGAAAGATCCAAAAACTAAACAGCCGACTACTTCGTCCAACAAACACACTATTTTTTCGGAGAGAGAAAATTAAAAAAAAGTGATTGGGAGAGATACAGAGAGAGAGAGAGAGAGAGTTTTTGAATCGCATTGCGTGCCCTTTGCATTCCGCGTAAATCGTAATGGCTCTCGAAACGTTGTTAGCTCTGTGATTTCGGCTGTTTGGATTGCGAGAATCTCAGAAAGAAAGTGAAAGAGAAAGATGCAAAAAAAGAGGTGGCGACCATTGGTGGTGCTGAGGAAGGTGCTAACGTGCGCCATATGTTCGATAGCGCTGGTCGCTCTCTTCTCAGTCCACGTTCCCGCTTTCCCTTCCTCTAAGGTTCCCAAGTTCTCTGACCCTTTCAAGCTTCCCACGGTGATCTTCCTCTCTCTCTTCCCTTTTCTTCTGTTTTCTTTCCTTTTCTTCCTTTTTTTCTTTTTTGTTTTTTACTCGAAAAAAGAAAGTCTTGGTCATTTAACGCATTTTTTCCTCCCGATTAGAGCTCTTCATTTCGCAATTCCATTCTGTCCTTTCTATTGCGTGATTTCGATTTTCATCGTTGTCGCTAGTATTCTTCTTCTTTGCGTATGTATATATACATATATCTATAGGTGTAAAGTCTTTTTCCTTTTTCTTTTTCCTTTTTCTGTGGTTATTCTAATTTACGATTAGATGTGATTTTTTTTACTTGAAGATCACCCACACTTCCTTCTTTAGAAAATTCCCTCGTTTGTGGATTTGTTAAATGCAATTATCATTCTTGTTTTTTTTTTTTTTTTTTTTTGGTTTTTTGTTTAAGTTGTTGATTGAGAATATATTTTAATTTACTGATCTAATTCAATAGCAACATGAAATTAAATACCAGAGGTTGAGCGCCGAGCGGAGCTGGACTCAGGAGCTCGCTCCGCCCCATTCCAAATCTCCTCTGCCCTCTCGCAAGGTTTCTGTTTCTTCCAATTCTTATTATATTGACTCATAAAATAATAATTATTTTCTTATAATTGCATATACAATTCCACTGTTCAATTGTTGTTGATTTTCTTGAAGACGTGAAATGAAAGGTTTTGAAAGTGTGGAAATTCTTAAAAACTGGCAATTCTCTAGGATTGATCAAAAGGAATTTGTTTCAATAATGTCATTTTCATTTGGGTGGAAAAGCAAGAAAAGAAATTGGTTTAATTTTTTAGTTTCTGATGCGAAGAAATCTTGCATCTTTTCCCGTTTTCACTCCTTTAGACGTGACGGTGACAGTTGGATAGCGCGGGCGGGATTTTGGATTTGGAGAAGCTGTGGAAACCTCCGTCGAACCGCGATTTCATACCTTGTGCAGAGCCTGGTCTTAATTATACGCGTAAGGAATTTGCTGATATTGTTCTTTCTGTGCAGCTATGAAGTTCTTAAGTACTTAATTCATTGTATTGTTGAAATTTCAGCTCCAGCTGAGTCGCGAGGTTACCTTCTGGTTCATACGAATGGTGGGCTCAATCAGATGCGCGCTGGGGTTTGTAGACACGCCAACTTTTTTTTTATATTTAATGAATTATCATTTATTTTATCCTCTTTTAAGCAATCACGTGGAGCGTTACGGGAGGAAAAGAACTTGGTCAAGTGAAGTTACTTCATTGACTTGGTCATCGAATGCATTTTCCTTGTGCCTATGTCATTACTGAAGTGACACCCAAAAAAAAAAAAAAAAAAAGCCTTAAGAATTGTTATTCATGATAATGATGTATCTGAAATTTGGTCACTTGTTATCAGTTGTTTGGTATATGTCAATTACATGGCTGTTGTACGGTAAATGAAAAAGAATATGATCCTTTGATCGCAGATATGTGACATGGTTGCTGTAGCCCGTATTATAAATGCTACTCTTGTAATCCCAGAGCTTGATAAACGGTCATTTTGGCAAGACTCCAGGTAAGATTGTCCCTTGATTAGCTTTTTACAGTCATACTATCCCCTTCCATCAAAATATTAATGCTAGAGTTTCTATCTTGTTCTTTTGATTTGCAGCAATTTTTCAGATGTTTTTGATGAGGATCATTTTATTAAAGCTCTAGCTAATGATGTAAAAGTCATAAAAAAGCTTCCTAAGGAACTGGCTAATGCTACAAGGGCAGTGAAGCACTTTAGAAGCTGGTCTGGTATGGAATACTATGAGGATGAGATAGCTAGCATGTGGGAAGATTATCAAGTATGGCCTTTGGAATGCTTCTGGTTCATATATTTCCCTGAACACCTTTTTTCTTTTTTAGTTTATTTATGCTGAAAAATACATATATCTTCTTTAAAAGGTTATTCGAGCTGCCAAGTCTGATTCTCGCTTAGCAAACAACAACCTGCCCCCAGATATACAGAAGCTACGTTGCCGTGGTTGTTATGAAGCTCTCCGTTTTGCACCTCGAATTGAAGCAATGGGAAAAGTAAATCATTTGAACTATTTGCTTATTATGCGATAAGGACTATGGAGCTTGCTTCATCGCTCTCGTGTCCTGTTCAATAACCATTTTAAAATTTCTTTTCTTTCTTCAATGTTATAGTTGTTAGTGGAGCGGATGAGGTCTTATGGCCCTTATATCGCTCTGCATTTACGTTATGAGAAGGATATGCTTGCCTTTAGTGGATGCACACATGATTTATCTGCAGATGAAGCTGATGAACTTAGGATGATCAGGTATTGACTGCTTAAAGTGACATGTTGTTCTAGAAATAATCACTATAAATTATGGGCAGACCTCAGAGTAAATGGTAGAATGATACCTCACATTTAATTTCAAACTTGTAGAGAGACTACTCCATATTGGAAAGTTAAGGATATTGATTCCAGAGAACAGAGGTCCAAAGGGTTTTGTCCCTTAACACCAAAGGAGGTTGGGATATTTCTCACCGGTCTTGGATATCCATCAAACACTCCCATATACATTGCTGCTGGAGAGATTTATGGAGGTGATTCTCGCATGGCAGATCTGCAGTCCCGCTTTCCCTTATTGATGAGCAAGGTATGGTGTTATATAATACCATTGCTTGATCTTTATTTCCCGCTGAGAAAGATGTGTTGATGCGTTTCTATTTTATGTTTCTATGTAGGAAAAATTAGCTTCTGTCGAGGAGCTTGAACCTTTCAGAAATCATGCATCTCAAATGGCTGCGCTTGATTACATAGTCTCAGTTGAAAGTGATGTATTTATTCCTTCATACTCGGGAAACATGGCTCGGGCAGTTGAAGGTCATCGACGATTTCTGGGACACAGGAAAACAATATCTCCAGACAGGCAAGATAATCTCTACTTAGAACATATCTAGTTTTAGTTCTTTAGTTTACCTCCTGTATCTCATCAAGTAAGCTCTTTATATTGTCCATCAGGAAAGCTCTTGTTCGTCTATTTGACAAACTTGAGCAGGGAACAATGAGCGAAGGCAAAAGTTTATCATACAGAATCAGTGAAATTCACAGGAGACGGTACGTGATTATGACGATCCTTGAGTTTAATTCTTCATAATTTAGCAATCACTGCACGGTCTAGTGTTTTGAAAGTACGAAACGGTTGAGGAGTTCTATTATTTTTTCTGTTTCTCATTCACACGATAAGATCCATCTCATAGCCCAAATACATGGTTTTCCTTATGGCGGTTAAACAGGCAAGGCTCACCACGGAAGAGAAAAGGTCCCATCTCGGGAACAAAGGGCATGGATAGGTTCCGCTCGGAAGAAGCGTTTTATGTAAACCCTTTACCTGATTGCTTATGTCGGAAAGAATTACCGAGTGCAAATGTCTCTTTGGTAATGAGGTAGAAGAAGATCAGACAATGCAGAACGATTCTCACCATAGAGATCCCATGCTGCCAGGTGGCAGCGCATTTCATTCCTATAACAATTTATCCGTACGTTACAAGCTGATGTTGCTGCTATAGTCCTAGGGGACTCGGAATGTGTATATTCTTTGAGCTTAGGCTGGGTTGGGGGGCATTAGTCAGTACAGAAGATTTTAGGTGAAAAGGACAATGCATTGGAGTGCAGGAAAAGGCTGGGGAAAGGATAACCAAAAGAAAGAATAGTGTATTAATTTTAGAATGCAAAACATAAATAAAAATGTAAATTTTTGACTCATCTCGGCCTCTGGGCGCCTCACTACACAGGCCGGGGGTTTTTATACAATGTTTTTCTTTCTTTTTTTTCATTTTTGAGGTTTTTTTTTTTGCAGGCATGCCCAAAAAAATATAAAGATCGTGTCTGTAAAATTTCATAATTTTTAGACGTTTTTATTTTATTTTATTTTTCAAAGACGAAAATAAAGAAAATCATAAAAAATAGAATATTTATCAAAAAATGGTTCTGTTTATTGCATTAATTCTTAAAAATCGTATATTAATTTTAGAATGCAAATAATAAATAAAAATGTAAATTTTTTACCAATCCAGGTCTTGGACGCACCACAAATGGGCCGGAGGTTTTTTGACATCGCTTTACTTTTTTTTGTCATTTTTTGAGGTCATTTTTTGCAGGCATGCTCAGAAACATGTAAGGATCGTGTCTGTGAAATTACAGAATTTTTTGACGTCATTTTTATTTTATTTTATTTTTCAAAGACGAAAAATAGAAAAAATAATAAAAAATAGAATATTCATCAAATAATAGTGCCGCTTGTTGTATTAATTCATAAAAATTTGTATTAATTTTAGAATGCAAAATGTAAATAAAAATGTAAATTTTTTACCCATACGCCCCTAGGCGCCCCACTACGCGGGCTGGGGGTTTTATACAACGTTTTTCTTTTTTTCCATTTTAAATGCCTTTTTTGCAGGCATGCCCAGAAAAATGTAAAGATTGTGTATACAAAATTTCATAATTTTTTGACGTCGTTTTTATTTTATTTTATTTTTCAAAGACGAAAAATAAAGAAAATCATAAAAAATAGAATGTTCATCAAAAAATGATGCCGCTTTGTGCATTAATTCATAAGAATTGTATATTAATTTTAGAATGCAAAACATAAATAAAAATGTAAATTTTTTACCCATCCCATCCCTGGGACTATGTGGGCTGGGGGCTTTTTGACCATGTTTTACTATTTTTTTTGTCATTTCTTGATGCCATTTTTTTCAGACATGCCTAGAAAAATGTAAGGATCATGTTTGTAAAATTTCAGAATTTTTTGACATCATTTTTATTTTATTTTATTTTTCAAAGATGTAAAATAGAGAAAATCATAAAAAATAGAATATTCATCAAATAATGGTGCCGCCTGTTGCATTAATTCTTAAAAATCGTATATTAATTTTAGAATGCAAAACATAAATAAAAATGTACATTTTTGACCCATCTGGGCGCCTCACTACGCAGGCGGGGGCTTTTATCATCGTTTTTCATTTTTGAGGCCTTTTTTTGCAAGCATGCCAAGAAAAATGTAAGGATCGTGTCTGCAAAAGTTCATAAATTTTTTACGGCGTTTTTATTTTATTTTTCAAAGACGAAAAATAAAGAAAATCATAAAAAAATAAAATATTCATCAAAAAATGGCATTGCTTGTTGCATTAATACATAAAAATCGTATATTAATTTTAAAATGCAAAACATGAATAAAAATGTAAATTTTTAACCCATCCCAGTCCCTAAGTGCCCCACTAAGCCGGTCGAGGGCTTTTATACAACGTTTTCTCTTTCTTTTTTCATTTTTGAGGCCATTTTTGCAGGCATGCTGAGAAAAATGTAAGGATCGTGTTTGCAAAATTTCATAATTTTTTGACATTGTCATTATTTTATTTTATTTTTCAAATATGAAAAATGAATAAAATCATAAAAAATAGAATATTCATCAAAAAATAGTGCTGCTTGTTGTATTAATTCCTAAAAATCGTATATTAATTTTAGATTGTAAAACATAAATAAAAATGTAAATTTTTGGCTTATCCCGGCCCCTGGGCTACCGACTACGCGGGCTGGGGGTTTTTGGCAGCGTTTTACTTTTTTTTGTCATTTTTTTAGGTTATTTTTTGCAGGCATGCCAAGAAAAAAAGTCAGGATCGTGTCTGCAAAAGTTCATAATTTTTGGAAGGCATTTTTATTTTATTTTATTTTTCAAATACGAAAAAGGAAGAAAATCATAAAAAATAGAATGTTTATAAAAAAATAGTGATGGTTGTTGCATTAATTCCTAAAAATTGTATATTAATTTTGGAATGTAAAACATAAATAAAAATGTAACTTTTTGACCCATCTCGGCCCTTGGGCTAGCCATTATGCGGGCCGAGGGCTTTTTGATAGGGTTTTATTATTTTCTGTCATCTTTTGAAGCAATATTTTCCAGGCATGCCAAGAAAAATATAAGGATCATGTCTACAAAATTTCATAAATTTTAAACGTCGTTTTTATTTTATTTTATTTTTCAATCACGAAAAATGAAGAAAATCATAAAAAATAGAATTTTCATCTAAAAATTGTGCCGCTTGTTGCATTAATTCTAAAAAATCGTATATTAATTTTACAAATGCCAAACATAAATAAAAATATAAATTTTTTACCCATCCCGACACCTAGGCCCCCAACTACGCAGGCCGGGGGCTTTTTGACAACGTTTTACTTTTTTTTGTCATTTTTATGCCATTTTTTGTATGCATGCCCAGAAAAATGTAAGAATCATGTCTGCAAAATTTCATAAAATTTTTGACGTCGTTATTATTTTATTTTATTTTTTAAAAATGAAAAATGAAGAAAATCATAAAAAATATAATCTTTATCAAAAAATGGTGCGGCTTATTGCATTAATTCCTAAAAATGGTATATTAATTTTAGAATGTAAAATATAAATAAAATGTAACTTTTTCACCCAGCCTGGCCCCTGGGCGCCACACTTTGCGGGTCGGGGGCTTTTTGACAGCGTTTTACTTCTTTTTGTCATTTTTTGATGCTATTTTTTGCAAGCATGCCCAAACAAATGTAGGGATTGTGTCTGCCTAATTTCATAATTTTTTGACGTCATTTTTATTTTATTTTATTTTTCAAATACGAAAAATAAAGAAAATCATAGAAAATAGAATTTTCATCAAAAAATGGTGCCGTTTGTTGCATTAAATCCTAAATTGTATATTAATTTTAGAATACAAAACATAAATAAAAATGTAAAGTTTTTACCTATTTTGACCTCTGAGCTGGCCCATGGGCGCTCTACTACGCAGGTAGGGGGCCTTTTGACAGCGTTTCACTTTTTTCTCATTTTTTGAGACTTTTTTTTACAGGCATGCCCAAAAAAATATAAGGATCATGTCTGCAAAATTTCATAACTTTTTTGCATCGTTTTTATTTTATTTTATTTTTCAAATATGAAAAACAAAGAAAATCATAAAAAATTGAGTATTCATCAAAGAATGGTGCCGCTTGTTGTATTAATTCCTAAAAATCATATATTAATTTTAGGATACATAACATACATAGAAATATACATTTTTGACCCATCCCGGCCCCTAAGCTGGTCCCTAGGTGCCCAACTACGCAGGCCGGAGGTTTTTTGACAGAGTTTTACTTTTTTCGTCTTTTTAGGCTATTTTTTGCAGTCATGCCAAGAAAAATGGTAGGATCGTGTGTCCAAAATTTCATAGTTTTTTGACATCGTTATTATTTTATTTTATTTTTCAACCACGAAAATTAAAGAAAATAATAAAAAATAGAATATTCATCAAAAAATGGTAGCCGCTTGTTGCATTAATTCCTAAAAATTGTATATTAGTTTTAGAATGCAAACCATAAATAAAATGTAAATTTTTTACTGATCCCGGCCTTTAAGCTCGCCCCTGGGCACCCCACTATGAGGGTCGGGAGCTTTTTGACACAGTTTTACTTTTTTGTCATTTTATGAGCTATTTTTTGCAATCATGCCGAGAAAAATGTAAGAATCGTGTCTGCAAAATTTCATTATTTTTTGATGTCGTTTTTATTTTATTTTATTTATCAAAGATGAAAAATAAGAAAAATCATAAAAAAATAGAATACTCATTAAAAATAATGGTACCGTATTTTGTATTAATTCCTAAAAATGGTATAATAATTTTAGAATGCAAAACATAAATATAAATGTAAATTTTTTACCCTTCTCGGACCCTGGGCGCCCCACTACGCGGGCCGGGGACTTTTTGACAGGGTCTTACTTTTTTTTTCATTTTTAGGCCATTTTTTGCAAGCATGCCCACAAAAATGTAAGAATCAAGTCTGCAAAATTTCATAATTTTTTGACGTTCTTTTTATTTTAATTTATTTTTCAAACAAGAAAAATAAGGAAAATCATAAAAAATAGAGTATTCATCAAAAAGTGGTGTTATTTTTTGCATTAATTCCTAAAAATGGTATAATTATTTTAGAATATAAAACATACATAAAAATGTAAATTTTTTAACCATCCCAGCCCTGGGCGTCTCACTACGCTGGCCGGGGGCTTTTTACACTGTTTTACTTTTTTCCATTCATTTTTGCATCTATTTTTTTCAGGCATGCCCAGAAAAATATAAGGATCGTGTCCACAGAATTTCATAATATTTTGACATTATTTTTATTTTATTTTATTTTTCAAAGATGAAAAATAAAGAAAATCCTAAAAAAAATAATATTCATTAAAAAATGGTGCCACTTCTTGCATTAATTTCTAAAAGTGCTACAATAATTTTGGAATGCAAAACACATATATAAATATAAATGTTTTACCCTTCTCAGCCCCTGGGCGCCCCATTACACGGGTCGGGGACTTTTTAACAGGGTCTTACTTTTTTGTCATTTTTTGAGGGTATTTTTTGCAGGCATGCTCAAAAAAATTTAAGGATCGAGTCTGCAAAATTTCATGATTTTTTGACGTTGTTTTTATTTTATTTTATTTTTTAAAGAACAAAAATAAGGAAAATCATAAAAAAAATAGAGTATTCATCACAAAATGGTGCTGCTTTTAGCATTAATTCATAAAAATGGTATAATAATTTTAGAATATAAAACATAAATAAAAATATAAATTTTTTACCTATCCCGGCCCCTGGGCGCCCCACTATATGGGCCGGGGGCTTTTTGACCGCGTTTTACTTGTTTTTTTTTTATTTTTTGGGCTATTTTTTGTAGACATGCCTAGAAAAATGTAAGGAACATGTATGCAAAATTTCATAATTTTTTGACCTCGTTATTATTTTATTTTATTTTTTACATATGAAAACTA